GCTAATCAATATCATTGCGAATAGTTCTCGTCCCTTGATGAAGTCCCCACTTCTCCCATACAATTGGTTCTTCATGGACATGTCATACTTCACTTGCATGGACTTGTCCCCAGCATTGTCAATGACTTTCCTCAAGGCATTGGAGAGCTTGGCATCAATGGATTGGAATCTCACATCAGGTGCTTTGGCCAGAACCTCCAAGTCAGGCTGATCTGCAAGACACGGAGCTAGCCATGCTTTCCAATCTTCATAGTTTCGATCCCCACTTGCAACACAAACTTCATGAACAACACTTCCCTTCCAGGATGAAAGTTCAGTGGTCTTAGGCCAGGGTTGGAGGCTGATCTTTTCTGCTTCTCTTAGAGATACGGATGACTTGGATCTATCCCTTTCAAGGTTCTCCAACTCCTTGACATTGGTGTTGTACTCGTTCCTGAGCTTTTCGAAGGCTTCAGCTTCTGCTCGGTATTCCTGCTCTTCATCGTTGGCGCGATCTTCAGCTTGAGAGAAATTGTTCTTGTAATAATCTTTCCGATCTTCCATCTTCTTCAACTCATCTTGAAGATTTCGAACTTCATTGTTCTTCTCTTGCTTCATCTCGTCCAACTCTGCTTTCAGTTTGGCACACTTATCTTCACATTCATTCCGAGGCATAGCATTACTGGGGTACCCATGTAATGTAGTCGGTCTATTCTTTGATGAAGAAGAATGAGCTTGATTTTCCAACTTCAGGGCAGCAATAGTGCTCGACATCTCTTCTACCTCGGCGAAACGCTCATTGGCCAATTGATGCATCTCAGTCAAGTGGCTTTCAGGAATGGAATAGTCAGTCGCACCTTTGATCACGAGTCTTCTGTCGTTCAACATCTTGATGGACTTACCTGCATCCCTGTGAGCACGTTCAAGAGAATCCTTTTGGGCTTCAAGTTCAGTATGAAGGCGAGCAATAGCTGTGTCCCTGTCATTGATTTCATTGTGCAGACTGTCGAACAAATCACTCGTCACATTCGGATTGTTGCTCATGCGATCGATCTTGTTCAGAGCATCTTGATATTTCTTACCAGTTTCATCGAAGTTTCGCTGGAAGACTTTGAGCAGGTCCTCAGTGTCAATGAGTTCAGTTCTGTTCTGCAAGTACAACTTGTCAACTTCAGCCTTGGATTCTTTCAAGCTGTCACGCTCACGCACGGCCTGCATATACATCTCGTATAGTGGTCCTCCATGCGGTGATCTGCTTGGCGATGATCTTCTGGCTTGTTGACAGGAAAGTTCATGATACTGATTCTTCGATTCAGTCAGTTGTTGTTGCATCCGATCTAAAAGACTTTGTTTCATGTGTAGTTCAGAACGTAGCCCCATGATCCTCATGTCCCGCATGCCGCCTGATTCAGCTAGAGATTCTTCAGAAACCCTGTTCTCAGAAATCGCTAGTCGAGATTGTAAGTTTTCATTGTGGATCACCTGCAATCGAAGTTGCGATTCTTCCAAAGCTAAGTGATGTTCACATTCTGCATAACGGTCATGTTCAGATCTTATGTTACTACGGAACTCCTTCATGATCTCGTCCCTCTTCATGTCAGCAGCATCAAGCTCAGTTTCCAGTCGTCTGACGTTCATGGACATGGTGTGCTTCATTGTCTGATTTTGATTGGCAACCTCGAGCATCTCGATCTGTAAAGCACATGTTTGATCATTGGCGTAGCCGACCGCTAGAGCTTCCTGCTTGGCATTCATCTCCGCGTTTTCCAGTTCCAGTCTGAGTTGATTGATGTGAGCATTTGCATCAGCGCCCACATGTACCATAATTGCGCTCGCTTGTCCCATTTGTTCATCGAATTCCGAACGTAGTCGTGAATATTTGAATTCCAAATGAGATGCAGCTTCATTCGACATAGTCTGATACCTTTCCAACTCTTCGATCCTGTAGGTCGCACCTTCATCTTCTTGTTGTGCAGCCTGTAATTCGAAGTTCAGCATCTGGAGTTGTTCGGTCATCGACATCATCTCTTGATGAGTGGTGCTTTCCAGGAAATTAAATTGTTGATAGGCATAAGCTGTCGTCTCGGCCAATCTTGCCTGAAGTACGGATTCTTCTTCAGTGGCCTTTTCCAGTGATGTCTTGTATTCAGCTAATTCACTCTGATAGGCAGTGAAGATGTCGCTACCACTCGATGGGGCGTTCACTTGCTGATAAGATCCTGTCCCCGATGGAGTAGCGTCCTGAATCGGTGAAGGCAGATTCGACGACGTAGTCTTTGCCTTAGTCCTTGGAGTCATCGGAGGCGACAATTGTCGTGCAGATGATCTTCTCTTCCCAGGTGTGCTGTCCCTATCTTCAATTGCTTGCATTGTCGAAATTTGTCTCCCTCTAGGAGCAACCAGAGGTCGCCTGGGTAGGCTTGTTCTCAGTTCTGAGGCATCGCTTCCACCAGTGTCGATACTCTGTGAAGAATTTGACTGCGTGCCGGCAGCTGGTGCAACGGCATGTCCAGAGAAAGAAAATGCATTATCGCTGCTATCCTGTTCAGTCATCTGTAAGGCCCGCGGCTACCCGCTCGTAGGCTCCGTAGGACGCCTACGGCTGATAACCTGAGAATCGGGGATTGTCTGTCCGATTATGTCCTGGTACTTGGTTCTGAAGTAGACAACTTCGGCAATGACGTCACAAGGGTGGCGGCTTCTGCATGGCAGTTCTTTATTCTGGTGCTGCAGTGGGTCTTGAGCCAAAAGGGCGAGTGTCATACCCTTTGGCTGTGGATCTTAGAGTGTTGAATTATGTGATATTGTACAATGGTCCGTAGCTTACACTCTATTCGCATATATATTATGGATATATATATATATGTATATATATCTATCTATTATGGTATATTATGGTATATAATTGGTATATATTGGTATATATTGGTATATGATATACTACCAATGTTGGGTATATATTGATAGGTATATGATATACTACCAATGGTGTGTGTATATATATATATATATTACATAATCACCACCGTTTTAAGGGAGGGGGACGTACCCAAAATGCAAGCTACATGTTCAAGGTGTTTTTGAGAGGGGCCTTGAAAATGTAAGCTTACATTTTGCAAGTATTTTGAAGACCCTCCCCACAAAAACGACACCTGGGGGACGTTCAGCGACCAATTTTACATTTAAGGGGCGGGGGGGGCAACCTTACATTTTGATATGGTATCCCCCTCAAAAGCAGCCTTAAAGGGGTGGTGATATTACATTATATATATATATCTATATATATATATATATACGTATATATATAATACCAGCCCGTGACTTAGGACTTAGGCCATCCTTGTGACATAGGAGTTAGTGCAACAAGTCCTAAGTCACTGGTGTTCTTACCAGGTGATTTGTGTGCACCAAGTCCTAAGTCACTGGGGTTGTGATTGGACTCAAGCACTTTTTCGGTTAAAAAAAATAAAACATCTTCTCGGCACAAGTCCTAAGTCATCAGAATCTACATACTTACATTGCATTACAGTGCAGTACAGTAGATTACACTACAGTACATTACATTACAGTAAAGAACAGTACATTGCATTACATTACAGTACATTACAGTACAGTACATTACAGTGCATTACATTACATACATGCAAAGGGTTTATGACTTGGTGCACAAAATTGTATGTCACCAAAGGGGCACAAGTCCTAAGTCATCAGAACCTACATACTTACAGTACATTACAGTACAGTACAGTACATCACATCACAATACATAATACGTTAAACAAAAATATATAAACAGAAAGAATTAATATAAAAAACATTTCAAAAATATTTCAAAAATGAAAAATGAAAAAATCAAAAAATATATCTATATTTTTTATTTATGTAATTGCTTTAAAATAATGTATGTATATAAATCAAAGGAAGATTGGCACAAGTCCTAAGTCATCAGTTTTCGCAACGGTTGGCTCGAGGACTTCGACCCAACAACGGGGTAGTGCAACGGGGTAATACAACGGGGACCACAATAGGGAAGCACAACGGGGAAACAAAACGGGAAACAACAGAGGAAAGTTAAGAATAACAAAAAAAATGTATGTTTTTTTTATTTTTTTTGAACTGCTTTAAAATAATGTCTGTGTGTAAATCGAAGGAAAAAAGAAAATCACAGAGCGTGATGACTTAGGATCATCTTAATATATTTCTGCTAATTAAGTCCTATGTCATCATGGTTTTACGAGTGTTCCATGCCGCACTAAAAAAATCAAACATAGTTCCTAATCTCATACGGACACCTGATGACCTAGGACTTGTCCAGGGGGGTCCGACGCATGATGACATAGGACTTGGCCACCCCAGGGTATCTTTTACTAGTCCCAAGTCACGGGGGGAAATATATATACTATATATATATATATCATCAGATACCATGAGTGTCCCTATGATATATTGATGGACCATTAATGGTGTGATATAGGCTATTCCCATTTTTGTGAATGGTCTAGAGTCTATGTTCGTAATCGTATATTGATAGCCCCCAAATCCCCCCAACATATGATTGTAGTGTGATTAATATATGTCCAATTAGATCAATTATATATTGTACCGGTATAGTGTGTGCATATAAAATATAATAATAATACATTATAATTCTGTATACATATATACCCTCAATACGCAGCCATGAGAAGAGAGAAATTCATGAGAACGAAGCCGATAAAATGTTTTCTTTCACACAAACCCAGATCTGATGGAGTTGGAATCACAAACAGAAATGGGAACCATTGTAAAAAAAAAACATCACTAACCTTACCCTCTGGTAAACTAACATAGCTATTGAAAATGGCCATTTAAAGCAGATTTACCCATTAAAAATGGTGATTTTCCATAGTTTTTTGTATGTGTACCAGAGGGTAACTAACATAACATCTCTGGGTTTCCACAGTTCAACATCGTTCAACCAACGTTTCTTGTGAAACACAACTCCCCTCCGGGACGTTCGCCGCGGCGTTCGGGCTCCCGGCAGGGACTGGATAGTGGACCAAATCAAACTGACCTGTGATTTTCGGCAGCTGGGTTTCTCTGAAGATGTGGAACAAAAAACACAAAGGGAACCCAAAACCATGGGATTCAATGGTGGTTTTATGGTGTTTTATGGTGGTTTAATGGGATTTAATGGGATTTACCCGGCCTGGTAAACATACAAAAAACGAACTGGAAAATCATCATGCTATTGATGGGTAAATAAACTATTTCTATGGCCATGTTCAATAGCTATGTTAAATTACCAGAGGGCATCATAATTGTCCCAATGTTCAAGTGGTTAGTCATGATTGGTCGCTCATGTTCAGCTTTAATTTATGATTCTTCAAATGTTCAATTTGGTTTGTCAGGGTGATACTCAGACACACCTAGAACGGAGACATTAAGCTTCAGTGCTTTATCCTGAACGTATACTCTATTGGTGAATTCATAGACTAGACATCGATACATTTCGAGATTACCAAGTGATTTCGGTTTGAGTATGTTAGATTATCATGATCTTTGATTCACACATAGATTGATGATGTTTGCTTGACAAATGACTCAAATGACATCAATTTTTATCACAAGTAGAGCCACCATCAGTCAACATCCACCAAATCTATCCACAGGGAGACTTTTGCAGCAACTCGTCGCCTCCTTCGTCCACATATCCACCCATGACAATCAGACCAGAGTAGGGCGACGCAGACAAGTACGCCTGCAGGGCGGTCAGGGAATAACAGGGCGGTCAGGGCGGTCAGGGCTCTGGAAAATCTAAGGGAAAACCGTATGTTTTCTATGTTTTGTTACCTTCAAATTAATAGGGCTTTCCTGGAAATGTTCCCAATCCCAGTGATGGTTGGTGTATCCCAGAAACCCCGTTCAGCCGTTAAACACCCCTGGATGTAGGAGATGTAGAGGATAAAACCACATAGACGATGGATTTTTGGGGTGTTTAGAACTAGGGAGATGGGATATGATGGGATTGTTGGTGTCGTTTCACTCCGGAAAAGACAAAAACTATAGATTAACTGTCAATAATCTATCATGTGGTGACTATTATTGATGGATTAACTGTCAATGATGGATTAACTGTCAATGATGGATTAACTGTCAATGTCTTTGGTGACTGCCATCCACTTCTCTATCTTGTCGCCTGCTTGGTGCTAACAAAAGACACTGCCACAAAGAAAGCTAGCAAAAGTATGAAGCTATCGTGTCCTGGATGTCCCAACCAAACCCGGTTCTACATCCGCAGTGGCAATATTCATCTGCGAAGTGTTCCTCTGCCACTGCGCAGACTGCGCGTTCACTTTCAAATCCCTGCCGTGAGGACATCCTGGTATCTCAAGTAGCCATCACATTCCTGAATTAAGATCTACTCGGACCAAAGCCAAGGTATCGTGGCTTTAGGAAGGCTGAATCTTCATAGGAAATTCAATAACAAACTCACCTGTGGCGGATTTTCTTCTCATTGGTGATGAAATCAGTCCCAGGTGGCTGGGAATTGCAGCCTAGCAGCTACACTGTGTGTAGATTCACCAACAAATAGGGGGATGAGCTGAACAAAAAGTAGCTCCCCAACAAATTGTCAAAAACTATTTCCAGATAACGTTGGAGATCTGTTTTTATCATGGTTTTCCAGGTGAGTACCTGGGTATTTCCAGTGGCATTCTTCTATAAATCCTGTTTTTTTTCTAAACCACATATGCTCCATGTATGGAATATTCACCAACATGTGCCCTAAAAATCACCCAGTTTTGTAGGTAAATATACCAGCACCATGGTTCGCATATGGGAAGCACTGCATAAACTTTCTGCGCCTGGAACAGCACATTTGCACATGTGGCACCAAGGGAATGCCCTGCCAACCACATGTCCTGCGTCGAAGATTCGAGGGAAGTCATCTACAATGTGGGGTGCCCGTTTGATAGCTAAGTTGGGGGAACAAAACTCTAGTACCTATGGTTTATATAGGTTTAGAAACCAACTTACATAACTGGGGGGTCACACATTGTACTCGATTCCATTATAATCATAAGTCCATGTTCAATCTTGGTTGCAACTGTATGTACAATTTTGCATCGAACATCCATTCTAAGTCGATTTTTCTCTGGTTTTGCATGTGATGAAGCAGTACAATCTGCATTGGATCTCCTTTGCTTGCCGTTTCCAGCCTTGCTCCACTGCCAGATTCAAGGCAGCCTGGTGCACAGAAACGTGTCAGAAAGAGCTTGATGAATGGAAAACCCCAACTCATCTTCTGGTGATATAGTAAATGTTCAACGGTAAAATCAATCAGCATCTTGAATTTGGATGTTGCGCCAATACCGAAACCCTCTCGCATTCCTTTCAGGATCTGGCTACCTGCGGCTTCAAAATTGGGTTCCCTAAAAAATTATGCTATAACACAGCCACCCGTCCACCATCCCATCCCTCCTCCACAGTGTTGTGCAAGGGCGAACAGAGGGACTTGGACACACAGCTGATGATGCAGAGCTTCTGGAAAACACTGGGTATCACCTCGTTCCAGCAGAGAAAAAAATGGGGGTTTCCTGAGATGGGGATACCCGAGATTATCGCTGCATGGTTTATTTCATGGAAAATCCTATGAATCAATGGATGATTTACCCTCTGGTAATTTAACATAGCTATGGAAAATCACCATGATTAATGGGAAAATCCACTATAAATGGTCATTTTCAATAGCAAACTGTGAAATCACCAGAGAGTAGAGGTACCCCCATGAATCAGGAGACCTCCACATTTTTTTCGTCAAGAATTCCATCGTCCATTTTCGGCAACCCTCCAGGTCAGGGGTCTGTAGCCCCAAGGCGCTTCAGCACTACGAAAACAACACGACCAGGTCTCCCCACCACCCAAAGATCGCTCTCACCCTGCTGTGCCAAGGCATCCTGCATTTTTTTGTCAGATCACTGAAAAGAGATGGAGCTTAAATTCCGTGAGTCAAGGTTCACTGGCTACACTGGCTATAGGCTTTTTAAAAGCCTAAAGATCCCTGAAGGCAATCTGACAGCACTGAAATGCGCGAGAAGTAGTGTCATCCTGATGAAGGCATTGGACCTGCACATGGCTCACATGCTGACTATCAAACATGTTGATCAAACATCAGGTCAACGACCCCCCTTACGCTGCAAATCTTAAACCAACTTTAAAACCATGGAAGATAATGGCAGTTTCCTAAAATAGAGGTACCACCCAAATCATCCATGTTAATAAAGGATTTTCCATTCTAAGCCATCCATTGATAGGGACACCCCCATTTTAGGAAACCCCAATATGATGTGCTAGACCTACCCCAATGGTCTATCATAGCCAGTCATGGATGGTGAATGGGATAGTGACGATTGCAATGCGTTTATCAAAACCTATTAGTACCATATTTGGGGGAATAAAATTGATTTTTTACATCCATCAACTAGCTATTTTAGGTTACCAATGGGAACCGTTTCGGGTACCGTTTTGAGCCATAACCATGAATCGTGATAGGTGAGTGAGCAGATCTGGTCCTGGATAGCTAGGCCTGTCTGCCTGTAGTGTTCACTGGGCACTTTGCCGCCAGGAATGATCACCTTAGAAAAAACCGGGGAGAGCCGCAAGGGCGGCCCGACGTCTGTCGAAATTGCCGTGGGAGGAATGACGTTGATCTTCCATGGTCCAGGAATCATGGGGAGATTCCATGGCCAAACATGTTTGACAGCTCCTGGTGTTCACAGGAAAAGCATGGCTGACAAACGACGACAACAATGACAGCAATGACAACAACCACAACCACAGTCACAACCTCAAGCAGAACCATCACAACCATCACAACCATCACAACCATCACAACCATCACAACCACAACAACAACAAACAAACAAACAAACAAACAAACAAACAAACAAACAAACAAACAAACAAACAAACAAACAAACAAACAAACAACAACAACGGCAACGGCAACGGCAGCAGCAACGGCAACGGCAACAGCAACAACAGCAACAACAACAGCAACAACAACAGCAACAGCAACAGCAACAACACCGGCAACAACAGCAACAACAACAACAACAGCAGCAGCAGCAACAGCAACAGAAAAAAGAACGGCAACAACAGCAACAACAACAACAACAGCAGCAACAGCAACAGCAACAATAACAACCACAACCACAACCACGACCATAACCCCAAGAAACAACAAGAAACAACAAGAAGCAACAAGAAGCAACAAGAAGCAACAAGCACCAAGAAGCACCAAGAAGCAACAAGAAGCAACAACAAACAACATCATAAAACAACAAACAACAACAAACAACAACAAACAACAACAAAGAACAACCAACTACAACCAACAATCAACAACCACATCAACAACAACAACAACAACACAAACAACAGCAACAGCAACAACCACAACCACAACCATAACCACAAGAAACAACAAGAAACAACAAGAAACAACAAGAAACAACAAGAAACAACAAGAAACAACAAGAAACAACAGTAAACAACAAGAAACACATGAAACAACAAGAAGCAACAAGAAGCAGCAAGAAGCAACAAGAAACGACAAGAAACAACAAGAAACAACTGGAAACGACAAGAAACGACAAGAAACGACAACAAACAACAATAAACATCAAGAAGCAACAAGAAGCAACAAAAAGCAACAAGAAGCAACAAGAAGCAACAAGAAGCAACAAGAAGCAACAACAAACAACATCATAAAACAACATCATAAAACAACATCATAAAACAACAAACAACAACAAAGAACAACCAAGATCAACCAACAACCACATCAACAACCACATCAACAACAACAACAACAACACAAACAACAGCAACAGCAAAAGCAACAACCACAACCACAACCATAACCACAAGAAACAACAAGAAACAACAAGAAACAACAAGAAACAACAAGAAACAACAAGAAACAACAAGAAACAACAGTAAACAACAAGAAACAACAGTAAACAACAAGAAAAACATGAAACAACAAGAAGCAACAAGAAGCAACAAGAAGCAACAAGAAGCAACAAGAAGCAACAACAACAGCAACAACAACAACAACTACTACAGCTACAACTACAACTACAACAGCAACAACAACAGCAGCAACAACAGTGACAACAATCAAATAAATACGAGCATGTATATATATAATATATATATATATGTATACAATTCAATATGATTACATATATATATATATACATAATGGCCTGTCCACTGGCCATGCAATCAACGTAGCATTTTGCACCAGTCCCATTCCCAAATATTTGCATCGCGAAATTCAGCAGAGCAACCAACATCTTTTGAGTCTTTGCATCCTGCCCCGGCTGTTGGGATGGAAACCAATACGACAGCTAAGGCTTATCGAGATATTGAGAGGAATCTTGCTGGCGCACTGCTGAAAAAACATGCATCAGCGAGAAATTGTGGAGGCTGCACATTCCCTGTGTGGCAAAGCTCAGTATGCCACTGATTTATCGATGTTTGAGGAATCCACATTGCCATCATTTTTCGTGCCTTTTCCAGGACCAATAAAGGCTATATATACCCTGGAAGTCCAGGGACTCAAAAAGAACGTCCTCATGAAAATCCGTAGAAAGTGGATCAAAAAGGAACGTCCATGTAAAATCCTCATGATGTACCTTTTGAGGTCCCGGATCTCAAAAGGAACGTTGCTATAAACATCCTGTTGATGTACCTTTTGAGGTCCCAGACCTCAAAAGGAACGTTGCTATAAACATCCTGTTGATGTACCTTTTGAGGTCCCAGACCTCAAAAGAAACGTGGCTATAACATGCTATATAATATGCTATAATTAATCGTGTCCAAAATGAGGACAAATCTAGAATCGTGAGAAATCGTGAGTTTTCGTGAGTAGGCCCTCTAAAAGCACCAAAAAGGAACGGTTAAGGCCCTAAAAGGTACAATATAGCGATCTAAAATCGTGAGAAAATCGTGAGAAATCGTGAGTGCATGCATCACATTTTTGTGATTCGAAGACATCTTTAAACACATGGGGGTCATGGAAGCCAAACATCCATTGCTATAAACCCTCGGCCGTAGAAACCATGACATTGCTACAAACCCTCGGCCGTAGAATCCAACAACATTGCTGCAAACCCTCGGCCGTAGAACCTCGGCATTGCTATGGTTTCTCGGCGATGATCCCTTTTTGTGGCACTTTTCCTAAGGACTCAAAAAGTACGGCCTTGGGACTTTTAGGGATATATATATATATTTATATATATATATATGGAATTATATGGATATATATCAAGAGAGCACAAACTATCGAAATCCCGGACTCCAAGCTGTGCAAGGCTGATTTCTCTCCTTTGGTTTCAGAATGACATGATCCGCAGCTGCCAATACCAGAAGAAGCAACAAGCTCTTCACGCCGAGCATAGACATGGACGGCATTTCTTCGCCAATTCAGCAAATACTGGGAGAAATTCAAGCTCATGACTGGTCACATCGGAATTTTCTAATGAATTTTGAATCTATAGTTCAAGTTGGTTCGACTCCAAACATCCTCATTTGGTCTCTGCATTAAGCCAAAGAATTGCAATCCGATCCTAAAGAAATCGACCGAAGCTGTTGCATCCGATCTCATCAGTGTACAGTTTGCCTCTGTATCGACGCAACATATATATCAGATCTAAATCCAAATACCATCGTTTCATCCCAAGTCCAGTCCTTGAACCAAATTCTTGCCAAATGAAAACCGAAGTGCTAGCGTGACCCCTTCTGCTGTTGGGATTGCGAATTATTGCGAGGCTGCCAAAACCAAATGTCTTTTCAAATTATTTTTCTTTATTGTCGCTGGGCAAAGATTGATTGTGTTTGTTTTTGTTGAAAGATAAACTATAAACAACACATAATATCAACGAAATTCAACGAACAAGATTGGGCATGTCACAAAAATTTGGAGACCCCCATATTCACCGATGCTAACAGGAACACGTACCATTCATCATTTAAGCGTTCATTCATCTCGGGTTTCGCGTAAAAATCTCGATGGATGCATAACCAAGACCCCCCCGCCATGGTCCGTAGGGGGCTGCCAGGCCTACTGGAACAGACCAATCGACCCATCAAATGGGTTTGTCTGAAAATAGGGTATATTCCCAATTATAGCCATTTAATAGGGATAATGATCAGCAAAACCATTGGGTTTAGGGGTACACTATTTTCAGACACACCCCAATCATGGTGTTTTACGGTGGCTGCAAGTCTGAGACATCAGACTTGTGACCAAATTCCTGTTGCGCCTCACAGGGATTCGCAGGGAAATGGATCACTGTCACCAGCGAAAAAGCTGGTTACCAAAGGGCCATTGTGGCTCCGGAGCAGAGCGACATTTTTCAGCAAAGCATAGCAAAGCGCTGTCCAAATCTGTCCAGTCCATCAACCAAGAAATCAATTCGACGTTGACCGTTCACCTTTGTTTGTGATCCATTCATATGTGTGTTGTATAGAATTGTATAGACATGTATCGAGGTGCAGCACCAGAGAGACAGAACATCAACATTATCCAAGGCTAGACTACCATGAAAGTCTTATGACATCTCCACATCTCATCCCTCAGGTTAAGCAGTTAAAGATCCTCAATATTTCGACATGGTTCAGCTTTGGAAATCCATTTCCACTCGACATCACTCACATCACGACATGGCAGTCTCTCCAAACATCACAGCGCCCCTGCCCAAGGGAGACAAATGTCAAAGCTTTCAAGAAACCGCCGGGTCGCCTAGATTGAGGCGCTGAGCCGCTCGCAGATTCAATGATCAGAAAGGATTTCCAGAAAGTGACGTGGTTCGGCCCAAACTCCGACTGGAACCTCTACCGGTCACTACTCAGCATTCCAAGAAACATCGATTCGGGTTTATTGCAAGAAGAACATGATTACCCATAGGATCCATGTATGCTATATATGCAAACATTGGGGGTATATTGATGGGATCCATGTTACCATATATAGCAGCACCATGGATCCTATGGGTTATGTAACAACCTTCGAATATTGGGAAACAGTGACCTCCTCGTTGATGTTGGATTGAAAAATCACCACATTCCGGGCAAAACTCATCAAAAGTCGGACACATTGAGCTTTGGGCACGTGGAGGTCGCATGGAGAGCAACAACGAGGCGCCACGGATAGAGCCATCCTCATGCAGAACGACCTGGACCAAAGGCTCAGTCAAGCTGTCAGATGCTGTTAGCTCTTCACTTTATCTTACTGCTGCGTTGTATGTAGGGAATGGATGGGTTGCTGGGGGTTGCTGGCATGATGAAATTACTAGTGATGAAATAGATCATTCCCGAAAATTGCTTGCGTTTAGCACGAGTAAGTTATGTGCTGGAAACGCTCAGTCTAACAGTCTGCATCTTTTCTTCACTGGGCATATTTCAGCTGGTTTTGGGACCTGAAAAACAAAAACCGGAGATTGGACTGATCAATCTAGGACAGAATCTAGGAGTCTTAAATCCTTTCACAATAGGCTACCACTGAAGACTTCGGTTGTGCGACTGAAGAGGATTCTCCAACTTCAAAACCCAACAAGTCAAGCAAACCAAAGGGCCTCCTCTCCTGGAAGAGCGCGTAACGTATGTCCCGGAAGGATTGGGGGAACAAGGCCATTGCCTGAGCAGAATTGCAGCAGAATGCATTAGGATTCAGGATAAAACACAACCTGACGGCCTGACTAGTTATGAATGTTCGTGTATGATGAGAGCAAATCATAATCCCATAGGATCCATGTATGCTATATATGGTGACATTTACCATCAATATACCCCCAATGTTAGCATATATACCATACATGGATCCTATGGGAATCCTGTATACCAGCAACTGTCTTGCCAAAGATGTGTTTCAGTCCAATCTTGGTCCACATTTCACATGGCGCAATGCACCCTCAACCAGCCACTGCAGCTCAGCCTGCTGGAATTCGAAGTGGAACCTGCTGGAATCTTGGCATGGCAAAAATGGCTCTTGCAAAATCTGGAGAGTTTAGCCACTTCACTCAGAATGGGAATTTAGCCACAAAAAAACTATGGCTAAATCTTTTTTAAGTGCCATATTTGCTCCTTTTTCTCACTATACGTTTCACTCAGGCCTCTACCCTCTGGTAATTTAACATAGCTATTGAAAATGGCCATAGAAATAGTGGATTTACCCATTGTTTCAATGGTGATTTTCCATAGTTCTCTGATTGTCATAGCTATGTAAACGTTTACCAGAGGGTAATGGCACTTTACCACTTTTGCACTCCAAACCCCTGCCCCTGCCCGGGCCACAGGGCCACAGGGCCTGCAGATTCTCAACGTGCAGATTTTCGCTTGGCCTGTCGTCCTCCACTTGGGCAGTGGCTTCCTTTGTCCTCACCTGGCAGGGACGACGCCATCCATAAAAAAAACACGACTTGGGGTTCTTATCTGGTTAATATATGGTTAATATATGGTTATTGTATATGGTTAATGATGGTTAATAATAATCTGATTGGTGGTATACCTATCCCTCTGAAAAATGATGGAGTAACAGTTGGGATGATTATTCCATTCCCAACTGAAGGGAATAATAAAAATGTTCCAAACCACCAACCAGTTATGGCTTCTTATGGCTTCTTTGAGTTTCAAGCCACTATTTTTGTGAAGGTCAAAGTTTCGACATCACCTCTCCTTACTTGCACGTAGTGCCATGCTACGTTTGTAGGCCTATGCTGCTATGTCTGACACCAATGTAACCAATCCAAGGACAACAGTCGTCCAAAGCCCTGTAGAACCATCACCATCCCCCATCTCCTCGCGAGCTGCTACTTCTCGGAGGAGTTGATTCCAGGCCAAAAAGCAATCCAAGAGAAGCAAGCGATGGTCCTGCAAAGCCCCATATAGCTACCCATGGCTATGGCTATGGCTGCCCATATCTTTACCCTGCATTCTGAATCCACAGTTTTCGATGCTGAGCAGCTGGGGGCTTCGTATTCAAAATCATGTCAAGACTTCGTTGAATCTTAACATAGCCCTGTGGATCAAATGTAGCTGTATTTTGACTTACATTTCTATTTTTGATCTATATGCCGACATCGATCCTCAGGGTAGTGATTGCAAAGCAAACGAAGACACCGTTTTTGTTCGTAGCAAACCACGAAGTCCCAGTGGAACCTGAACTCCCAGCGCCCGGAAGGTACCGACTGACTGCCGCGTGGCCTCATCGAGATGCTACAGTGGACCGGTGTGCACCCGAGCTTCGCTACGATCGTTCAGCGATGATGTTTACCGGTGCTATTTGATGGTCATGGGGAATGGATTGCTTTAAGGGAAAATTTACAGGAAAACCCCATATTTAATGGGAAAATCGATGGTTTCCTGTAGATTTTCCCTTAAACCAATCCATTGAGATGGGGAATGGCTTACAAATGGCTTACTATTGGATTTACCCATGATTTAGCCATAAACCTACCAGTTTTAAGGGATGGTTTCCGGCGTAGCAGCTGGGTTTATGTCGCACTGCCAAAGGGATTAGCCTCTGAGAAAAAGAAACGTGGCAAGTGGAAAATGACATCCATATTTATAGATATTTGTTCATAAAGTATTGGTTTCAATGAATGTATCTTCATATTCTTCATAAAATATGGACATGTTTTCCATAAATAAATTACATCCATGAACACAAAACCATGACGTGTTTCATGGTACTTTTCCCATACAATCAATATGAAGCCTCATTGAGTTCGGGGCAATCCCAGCCATGTTTGATGATACCTGAGGGTATGGCTTTTCGCAACCAGATTCTACCGACATCTTTGAGTAAATCATAATATTTCACTCACCTGAATCTTGCGGCCTCACATGGCCATAAAAGGGGATGTTTTCCCATATAAAAACCATTAAAAACCATGATTCCAGGCCGGAGAACAGGCTTCGGTTGTAAAATAATTCACCCAGATCTTTTGGCGCAGAAACTCTCCAACCTTCATGGAGTTTATGGCGCCCTTGGCCAATTTGGCCGTTTCTTCTGCAGCAGCCGCAGCGCGGTGAGCCTGGATCGATCGGAAATTTGCATGGTCCCTGTGACGACAGGAGTCAGGTCAATATAGTCGATGGTTGAAAACACCAAAGAAAAATGAATTTATTAGCATAACTCAATAATCTTAAATAAACACATGAATAAATAGCATACGTATATATATAAATGAATCATAATAGAATATAATAGATCTATTTAACATGTTCTCCCCAACCCGGACGTTGCTCCACACTTACAATCGTCATGATGATGATGATGATGATCATCATCATCATCACATCATCACTCATCACATCATCACATCATGATCATCATGATCATCATCGCATTAAAACTCGCCACCCCCTCTGAACAATATGTTGACTGGGGGAATAACATAGAATTCATCTTCATGAGGGGTCAAAAATTGCCACCCTCTCTGACCAATATGTTGATTGGGGTAATAACATCAACTTTATCTTCATATCCACCTGAAGTCAGACGCGGCGCAACGTCAGAATTGCAGCGAAAATGTTTTAAAGTACTTGAATCACCATGAAATTCTACTTCTCTCTGACACTTGTCCGTAACTCTTGGGCCGGCCTGCGCTGCTGCATCAGCCGCTCCAGCTGTGACTCAGTCGAAGGTGCACATGTCATGTGGGTTTGTCTTCAAAGATAGGGGGTACAACATGGTAAAGCCCATTTTCACTGGCAGGTTTTGATGAATTTTGGTCATGTTATACAATGTTATACCACCCCATGTTCATGGTCTGCATGGTTTATTGTGGTTTATCATGATTTTGTCATCATCTCCCCCATGAAAGGTCCGAATATTGTGGTAAACTCCCACAATTGCAGTCACACCCATGTATGATTTGAAACAGAAGTGCTGCCAAACTACGTGTTGCTGCCTCCTTCTGGAGTGCTTCTTTTTGTCCCTGACCACACTGTGGAAGCATTCTACATGACGAAGACTTGAAGCTGGAAACCGAGTTCCATGAACTTGAACTATGAAAATCTTAGGGAACAAAGGTAAAACTTGTGGCGGGTCTGACAAGTCGTGCAATCAAACTCTGTGGCAATGACAAATTGCATTGACAGAAATCGTTTGACATGTGTTGACATATCTTGAGTTTGAGCACTACAGTTCATTATTTTCATTGCTGTGCTCTAGACGCTAAATCTCACACAACATGTGTTTTCTTCTCATGTGCGCGTGCATGTGTTATCGATGTGATGGTTCGACATCTCAAACGAAAAGCACACATAAACATCAAACAGTACAAAGTGCAATGCAACCGCTACAACCTGTGGGGTTGGAGTCACAGCAGGGAGGAATACAGGGTGAGATTTGAGCTGGGCTGAAAACTGCACGGAATCGTGGGGCACACCCCATGGTGAAGCCTTCTTTTCGTTCCAAAACACAGGAAGTAAACAGAACTTCGCCAAGGCCAAGCCTTGAGCAACTCGTTCAAAAGCTTCAAGATCTCTTCATCAACAGCTCGAACTCCTGAGAGACCGGCGCTGTTTTTCCGGCTTGGAACATGTCTGTTAAAGATGCGCAGGCATTTCAGTGGGAGATGCAAGTACACAAGCACTGCTGGGAAAATTGAGGTACTAATTGTATGACAATTCATTTGAAAACCCAAGCCTATCCCAAACATGTTTCCAACATCACAACCTCCAACATGTGTCTAGTCAAGAAAACAGGGCAGTAGCAGTTCTATAGTAAGGAACAGTAGTATTATTCTGTTTTGTCTCTTTTTGGGATACCATGGTATTACATGGTCGTGCATGATAAATACCTGAAACTTGCGGGCAGTTGGGGATTCCCCGAATGCTAATCATCATTCCAGTGTCAGTGACGTCACAACATATTTCAGCCATGTGTATGTATATTTCTATATATATATACACAGATAATCATATATACATTTACATACACACCCGATTACACAACCACAATAATAGTTGGTTCTATTATATGTTAATGTGGTTAAAACAATGTCATAAATCACCCATAGAAATGGTGGTGATTGGAGGATGGCAAACATGACATTGTTTTACCCCATTACAGTGAATACATGTTAATACACTAATAAATGTGTTATTGTTAAAATATAATATTTACTATATACATTATATACATGTGTTACTATATCTTACTATATATATATATATATTATACATGTGTTACTATATCTTACTATATATATATATTATATACATGTGTTACTATATCTTACTATATATATATATATTATACATGTGTTACTATATCTTACTATATATATATTATATACATGTGTTACTATATCTTACTATATATATTATATCTTACTATGTGTTAATACATGTTAATACATTGTATAGTCTTCCTACCATCTGGTTATGACTAACATAGCCATGGAAAATCACCATGCTATTAAGTTCGGTAAACCGTCTATTTCTATGGGCCATCTATACCATGGCTATGTTAGTCATAACCAGAGGGTAAATCCCATTAGATCCCATTAAACCACCATAAAATCCCATAAAATCCCATTAAACCACCATTAAACCACCATAAAATCCCATAAAACCCCATTAAAATCCCATTAAACCACCATAAAATCCCATATTCCTATAGTCATGGGCATACCTCAATAGCTCCACCGACCCCCGGATGGTGAACCCGACCTTCACCGGCCTCAGAGTCTTTGAGGACTCCCGAGGCCTGGGGACGTTTCACAAAAACACGGATTCGTGCGTCCCACTTAGCACGGAATTTGTCAAAGTGACAGCGGTGGGTCACTTTTTCCAAGCGCGCTGCGCCATGTACTCAAGGGCCCTGCGAAGTCGGACAAGTGTTGAGCCGATAGCAGCGCAGAGCGAAAGTGAAACATGTCTGTGCATGTGAAACCCCTGCAGAAGTGCTACTTTCACACTCCTACTCTTTCTTGCTGAGGCCAGCACTTGGTTGGCTCACTCAGCGATTCGCTTGAGCTGACACGTTGGGTCTTTCATCCACGCAAGGAAACTCCACCGTAGGTTGTCAGAATCCTTGGTCAAGATGTCTGCTATCATCTTGTCCGTGGGCACCCATCGCATCATTTTGGAGTCTAGTGCCTCTTGGATCGCTCGGATCGTCAAGAGCACCCTCTTTTCCTCGGTGTTCGGGTTTGAACTGATGACCGAATCGAACAGCGAACGGCAGTCCGTCGCGTGGGCGTGTTTCAGGATCGGTCCTGTGTTCAAGATTGAATCACCGGTAAGGATTTCTGTCAGCGTCGCATTGACGTGATGAGCTCTGTCTATCGCGTCGTCTGCTGCGTACGCTTCACCTGCCAGAGTTGATCTTACTACTCTGGGCGTTCGGCATGTTTTCCAGTCCATTGGGATGCAGCGTGATTGTCCCTCAAGGCAGTCACTTGAGGACAGTACCACGATGATTCCCTCTTGGCTTTTCATTCCTTCGGCATTGGCCCAGCTACAATCGCCGTATGACACTACGATTGTCTCGGAACACAACTTGATGGGTTTCAGTGTGATACCGACGTCGCTGGTTGCCTTTACGTAGGACATCAACCGATAAAGACGTTTGAGGTCATCTATCTTCGTTTCTAGTCCTTTGCTCGAGAGGGATACTGCCGATGCAATGTCTGGCCTGGTTTGGCCTGCCAGCCATTGTAGGCTCCCACGGCAGGATCGGAATTCCGTCAACTCCTCTGCTGTCAGGGTTGGATCTGATTGACTTCGGCTTCTGGGCACCTGACCGATGGTCATGCCTTTAATGAAGTCTTCTTGGTCGATTGTCAAGATCCATTCCTTTGTTTCTTGGTCCTTGGTCATTCTGATGTTCTTCCCTTTGAATCGGATTCCCTGTCTCACCTCGGTCCAGTCTCCCCATTTAAACATGTTTGTGAGGATCTCGAGGGGGAATGATTCATGTCGAACGATTAAGAAATCGTCGACGTACACAATGATAGCGCAGTTCACCTGCTGCTTCTCATCCCTGTGAAGGAAGAGCATGTGGTCCAGCGTGTGCGCCTTGAAGTTGGCCGCGGTCAATTTTGAAATGACCTCTTGTGCCCACAACCTGGGCGCGTTTGCTAGCCCATAGATATTTCCAACGTTCCTGTACATGGGATGGTTCCATCCGTCCTCAACCTGGCCCATTATCGGGTCCTCAGGTGGCATCATGTACAGTTCTCCGGGCCTTTCGTCTGTCGGCTGCTGCCCCTGCGGAAACGCTGTTGAGGCGTCCGCTGCGTACAGCTGCCATTCGCTGGACACCCCATATCCTCCGTTTACGCCACAGATAAACACAGTGAGGAGCACCATCTCACTAGTCCGTGATGGTGTTGGCGCGTCACGGTTTATACAGGACAAGTCGGGGTCCCGATGTCCAAGGACAACTACCCTTGCCTTTGGTTTGAGCGGGCTTCTGCCGATGTTTTTGTCGCGGTAGCAGGTACGGGCCTTTAGTACCCTTTTTCGCAGGATGGGGTCGCCCAGCACTTTTTGTGCTTCTTTGCTCGTCATTGGTTCTACTGGGCCCCATTGCTTCCAGCTTGTGCATTCTTTTTGGGCCGCGCTCACGAACTGCTTTAGATAATCTCCTCCGCGGGAAACGATTTCTCTCCACGGGATTTCTCTGTCCAGCGCTTTTTGTTCCTTTCTTGTCAGCGTGGTCGGATTGACTAGCTGGGTCTGGTCGCCTGCGTAGCAGATTTCCCAGTCCGGATGACAATCTTCTACCTGGTCCATGTCATCTGCGTCCAGAGTAGGACCGTCGTATTCTGACTTGAAGACCTCAGGTAGATTGATCATTCGTTCGGATCTTGCTGCTAATGGCGGCGATCCGTCATCTCCTGGCTCATCCAGTTCGAATTGCCCTGGGTTGGTTTCTACCAATCCTAAGAGCGCTTCAGACGCTCCCACTCTTTCTTCCGGGACGGGAGGAAGGGTTGTAGTTGCAGCAGGGGCTTGTGTCGGGTCGCCTGCTGGTGTTGGTTCTCCTTCCACGTCTTCGACTGCGATTCTTTTGGTCTCTTGAGAGTCGGAGTCTGGCAGTTCTTGCTCGACTGCTCGTTTTATTCCTTGAGATGACTCTGACTGGCTTGGACGTGGAGCTAGCTCCGGAAGTGGTTTATTTGCAGCGTCGGGTTTGGAGTAAGGCGTTGGAGCGCCGATGCTGCTAATCTTACTGGTTCTCCTCGATGGTCCATACGGTTCTGATTGGATTCCTTCTGACCTTTGGTACGCACCGACTGCTTCGGGTAGTCGGAGGATGTCACTTCCCTCAGCGCCGTAAGTTCCGTAGTCCATCACCTGGGGAACTATTGGTTCGTCTAGAGGTGGTGGATCTGAGTGGTCTTCTTCCACTTCACCGTCTAGGAAGTTCTGCTCTGCCTGTTTGAGGGCAGTTATGTCGTCGATGTCTGGCGTCCAGTTTTCGAAGCCTAGGGCTGGTCTCATTTGTGCCCTGTCGACCTTGACTGTCTGCCACCCAATCTGGACCCAGGCGCATGTTCCGTCCCACGTGATTAGTCGTCCTATCACGTAGCCACCGCGTTTCTTGGTGGATTTTCCACGGAGTTGTTCTCTCCATACTGCTACTTTTCCTCCGATGGGAATGTCATCCACCCTCATGTGCGCTGTCTTCCTTAGAAGTGCGCGTCGGAGGTGGGTGTCTACGTTGACGTCTGCCGCTGCCTTCTGGGCCTCTGCTCGGAAGATCATCGAGCGTACTAAGGTGTCAGGTTTTTACTTGTATCTAGTTATAAGTAGTAGATAAAAAAATCTAAAATTTAGAGCTTAACTTTTGTAAGTTTCTTTGGGTGCTTTTTTTTGCGCATTTCATTTTGTTGTTTTTTGTTGTCATAAATGGCTAAAAATGGCATTCCCCGTTTTCAATCCTTTTGTTCAACAAGAAAGCAGTCATTTCTACGAAAAAAACAAAGTTTGATTTGCGTTTATAAACGCTCACGCGTGCGTGCGCACATGATAGGGAATAAATAGGGGAAATTGCGTATATTGATTGAAAAACAGCGTTTGTTTTTTAAAAGTCATTGTGGTGGTGAGCAATATCTAGTTTCTGCATATGAGGCGTCTGTGCAGAACCTAGTCCAAAAAGGTGCGCACAGCATTGAGAGGAGCATGTTCAGCCCGTTTGATTCCTATATGGATCTGGCAGGTAAAGACATATATATATATATATATGGACTGCAAACAGTAACAATCAGAAACATTTCATCAGAAACACAGTTCATCAGAAACACTTCGAAAGTTTCAGAACAGCACATTTTGCCAGTGAGACGGTAATGACCGTGGACAAACTAAAAAGATGGGATAGGTGGGCAGCACTTTACATTCTTACTGTCTTTCACAAGTGTCCTAAAATGCTTTGAAATGTCGCTCCAGAAGACATTGCAGGACGCTTGTGTCAAAAATGTTGAGATATGAAATTGTATCCTGGTTTGATATCTATTTATGATCTTGTATTGTTTTTGGGTTCTCACTTCTGGTCAGGTGATCAATTTGTTTCCCATCACGCTGGGGTAAATGGACATTGAAGAGTATATGAAAGATTGGACCATATACATGTGGGTACCCCCCCTTCAATAGCATATCGTGCACTAAAGGCCCAACAAGTGTATAGCCACTACATGACCCAACCTACGATCCAATCAAAACAAGTGCAACATCATTGCAGTGGCTTTGGTATATATATATATATTATATATATATAGATGGTATATGCACGGTATACACTGGTATACACGCGGTATACGCTGGTATACGCTGGTATACGCTGGTGTGCGCTGGTATACGCGTGGTATACGCGCGGTATACGCGTGGTATACGCGAGGCTTTTGTGGTATACGCGTGGTATACGCGCGGTATACGCGTGGTATACGCGAGGCTTTTGTGGTATACGGTGGTATACGCGCCGTATACGCTTGGTATTTGCGTGGTATACGCGTGGTATACGCTGGTATACGCTCATGACCCCGCCAGCCCCAAAACGGTGAGAACCGCCAGCGGGGATGACCGCCTGCGGTAAAGACCGCCAGCGGTGATGACCGCCTGCGGTGAGACCGCCAGCGGTGATGACCGCTTCCTACATAGCGCTTCTTTTTTCCACCCATGATCTCAAGCTGTCTCTTGCCTTTAAAATGGAGGGTGGTAAGTTCACAAACCACAGAAAGCTAAATATGAATTAGCATTTCACTGCAATAAAGGTCTGGCTGCCTGCTCATCAGCGCACATCTCCACAACGGTTTCCCAAACCTCTTTGTAGCTTTCATCACTCAGCCCCCAAATCTTCGTGAAGAAATGCAACGGTTGCCTGGGCTGCAAAAATCATTCGATTCGAGGTATAAAGTCAAGACTCAGCAATACTGAAAAGTGGGAAACAAAAAATGCCACGTTTCATATACAGGCACTCCTTGTAGTTTCCATCCATGTAAACGCAACGGTAGTATGCAACACGGTTGTGAAGCACCCAATGCGTCTTAAAGAGGACATGTTGTATGCCTCTGGCATGCTCTGTCCTCACAATGCCACTCATTTGAAAAAGGCTTGAAAAAGTTGCCAAACTCTACATGCTACTGTTGTGGACGTTTACAAAATAGATAAAAATTGTCAAGAGGATCCAAGTTTCCTTTCAATCGGAAGTGAAAGATCTTCCCAAGTTACTTGGGACATGGCTCATGGACAGATGCAGCGAAGTTTTTGAACTAAACATTGAACCATATATCAACGGTGATAACCGATGAGAGATGATAAACTCACGTGGAACATGATAGAAAAGTTTCGCCGGTGAAAACCGCAGGTAATGTTAAAAAAAGTATGTTTTTTTTGCTATATGTCACCGCGTTTTTCAACATACCTAGCTTCTACGAAAAAATGAAGAAAAAACCTAGTTTTGTAAGTTTTCCTAAGTCCGAGCTAAGTACTTTTTTTTACTTACATAACTTTTGTAACTAGTACTTATAAGGAGATATAAGTAAAAACCTGACACCTTAGTAGCCGATGTTGCTGTCCGTCAACGTCTACTGCCAGGCTGTGTTCGTCCGTCAGGATTTCTCCCGGTACGCGGGGAACTTGTCCGAACACACAGGCGTATGGCGACATTCCTCGAGACCTTGGCATCGAGTTGACTGCGTGGATGCAGGAGTCCACGGCCTCGTTCATTTCTTCAGTTGTCACCGCGCCAGTGGCGTCTGCGGTTCGATTCAGGAATCCCTGAAGACCGAGTTGTTTCTCTCCACCTTGCCCATCCGGTGGTGAGCCTCTGGAGGAACGTAGTCCACTTCGACGCCTTGGCGTGCGAGGTGTTCCCATGTGATTCCTTGGAATCCTCCTTCTTGATCCAAGGTGATTTTGTATGGCATTCCGTACGGTCGGATCCACATTTGCTGAATAGCCTCCAAGATTGTGTCAGGGTTTTTGTCTTGGAGGATCCTCACCTGGTGCAGTCCGGTGGATTCGTCTATGATTCCTAGCAGGGTGAAGTTTTCACCTTTGATATTTCTCGCGTAGAACAGATCTGCCAGGATGTTGTCGTTCAGCTGTCCCAGGTACTTGACCGTTTTGGATGGTCGATTGTGTGGCAGCTGTCTCATTCTCTCGCAGCTGGCACACTTCAGTTTCTTTGCTGCGGATAGCGCCTCCGTCGTGATTGAGCCATGTAAGACCAACATGCGGACGAGATCCGTCGATGTTGGATGGCCCAGGTTCACGTGTAGTCTCGCCACTGCCCTTTTGATGTCTCTTGGAACTCGGCAGTCCGGGAAACTGATCTCTGCTCCCCTTGTCTCACTCTGAGGTACTTCCGTCTCAGGTTGTCGGGAGTCTTCTTCGTCTGTTGGCGCGTTTCCGTATGCCAGGATGGCGTACTTGACCGGTCTCACGAACCTCTGCCTTGGGAACGCGATGTTCTGGATGTCCTCGCTTTCCACCGCTATCGAGTCGTCTGAGTACAGGATGACGGCAGCTCGATGCGTATATGGAAAGTTAACTGGTAACCTTCGAGCAGCTGGCGCTCGGGCTACTTGGATTTTGCTTATTTCCCAGGGAATCAACCCGGTCAGTGTTTGAAACAGATCATTTCCTTCTGTGAGAGTGATCTGCTTAACTGAGCTGGTGCGAAACAAGTCTTGCACCTGCCCCATTACTTGTCTCCACACCGTTGTGTCTCTGGCCAGGTCGGTGTAGTATGACGTGGCCGTTGGAGCGGTGGTTATGTTGCGATCCCATTCTCCACACGCGACTGAGCGTCTTGGTCTAGCGTGGGCCTCTTGAAACCTTGTCGGGTCGCGGTTTCTTACCACTCTTCTGATGCCGTTCAGGATGGCGTGAAGCAAGCTTTCTCTTGCCTGTCCAGCTTCATTTACTGTTGGCACCAGGCTCTCTGTGAGATACTCGTGGTTACTTGCGCACTGGTATCTGATTGGTTCACTTCCTGTTGACTGGATTCGCAGAATTGCGGCTGATGCTTTTGCTGCATGCATCTCTTCTGCTATTTGCCAGTCTTTCCACAGGGATTTTCCGTGTGGATGTCCCAGGATCCAATACCTTCCCTGTCTGGTTTGTTCTCTGAGAGTCCAGAGCAGGGCTTCGTGAAACGTCTGGCGACTTGGGCTGCCAGGATCGTAGCGGTATCGTTGCCGCAAGATGACCACTAAGGGTCTTTCTTGGCGAACCAGCTCCTTCCATTTCTTGAGCTTTTTAGGGTTCCAGACCTCCTGGTCCAACGCTTCCTGAGATTTCTCAGGGAAGTATAGACCATAATCCTTGCAGTATTTGCTTAGGAGTGACTTAGGTCCTTTGGAAGGTGCCGTAGGTTCTTCGTCGTGCAATTGCAAAAGGTCAGTCCCGTAGGAAAGTCGACCTCGTCCCTTTTGGGATTGGTCCAGTGCGTTTTCCATGGTTTCCTTTTCCATGACCAGGACTTTCGCAGCTTTCCTAGCTTGGCTAGCTAGCTGCTTCTTGTCCTTCTTTTAGTACGGGTCGAGTTCCTCGTCCAGGACTTGGAACGACTCGTCGACTTCGTCCGACTGGTATGTCATTTCCGATGTCAAGTCGAACTCCTCCGGTCGGGCTCGACGAGGTGCCGCTCGGGCCTTGTTCGCCAGTCCGGTCGTAGTCATTGTCCCATATCCACGGCGTGGAGCCTGCTTGGTCTTGGGAGTTGGTGCCAAAACTGGCCCCTGTGAAGGATGTGGCAACTGCGAGTGCGAGGGCAACGATCGCTCCCGCCAAGCTCCCGTGTCTTGGTCGAAGACCATTTTCATTCCGCACGCCGGATTCAGACACGTTGCAAAGCTTCCGTGTCGGTTCCCGCTTCGAGACGCTTCCACGTGTTGGCACCTGTGGGCCGGTGGATGTAGGAACGGAAGGTCTCGGGATGGAAGGCTGTGCCGGATTTCTCCTTGGGCACGCCAGGCCGTGTAAGGCAGTACGACTGCCGCTTCGGGAATTCGCATCCGAAGGGCGATTGTCACGTTGCGCAGGAGGTCCGTTCCGAGCATTACCATTCGGAGGACCAACTCTCTCCATGCCGCTAGGCGTTGAGTGGAGGTCAGGACCATGGCGGGTGCCGGGAGTTGCGCGTCGGCCGAAGCGGTTGCTTGAGCCGAAAAGCTGGGGGTCGAACTCGTACTCAGCTTCTATGGGGTAGGTGAGGTGGTCTCCCGGTTCCCCGTCTTCGTCCAACCTGTAGTGCTCCACGGCTTTTTGCCGCGGGGATTGGTCTGGCGGTAGAGCCAGCTCGTCTGTGGCCAGAGGCCAGGTGTGAAACTCGTGAAACGTGGCTGGGAATGTTTCTTCCAGCGCCTCTACTTGCAGTATGTTGACTGCAATGTGTCCGTTGGACAGCTTGGCTAAGGGGGCTTTCAGTCTTAGTTTACTGAAGTAGGCCTCTCCCTTGCCTAGGTCGATAACCGTACCGAGGTAGGTCATCAGCGACAGGCTTCCCAACAAAGGGATTCCGGTCTGTAGCTCGGAGGAGTGCAGCACTAGCGGCTGTCCGGCTAAGACACACGGAATCAAGGCCTTGGTGTTGGCCTCTTGGGTTTTGCCTGCTCCGAATTTGAACCTCTCTTGTGCCGGCCGAGTCTGGCACTGGAGTCCGTATTGCTTCAGCAGTTTCTCGTGTTCGGGTCGCCATTCTGTTCCGTGGCACAGCTTTTGGCACGCTGTGTCCGTGATCATGTAACCTGCTGAAGTTGTGGCGCTCGCCAGGTAGGCTTCTGGCGGCCTTGGCAGATGTGCAGCAGGTTGCACGTCCTCTACCTCTGCCGTGAACACGAAGTAGGACTCGTGTTCGTCGTCCTCTTCGGCCACTTCTTCCGTGATTTGGACTCTGGAAGATTGGCCTCCTTTTCCTTTTGGGCATTCCTTGGCCCAGTGTCCTACCTGCCCGCAGTTCCTGCAGGTGGACGTGGCCTTCTTTTGCGTCAGGCTTGCGCTTGACGACTTACCCCCTTTTGGTGCCCCTTTTGCTCCTTTTGACGGGGTACCAAACCGTCTGGCCTGTGTGAGGGCCTTTAGCTTTTCAGTGGTCACTGACAGCGCTTCCAGCTGTTCTGTCAGGTCGCTGACGTCCTCTTCGTCAGCGTCGTCTTCTTCCTCTGGTAGGTCGTCTTCGGGGTCATCTGCGACCTCTTCTTGTTCTGCTGCGTTGACCAACCGAGGCTTTGTTTGGTGCGAGTTGCTTGGCTTCCCTTTTCCTCCGCCCTTGCTCGGTTGTCCTGGGCCAGTCTGCCCTTTTCCACGAGCGGGCTGCATCAGATCGGAGGAGGGGCCTTGCTCTCTGGGAACTGTAGGATTAGGCTTTCCCGCACCGACTCGTACACAAAAGACTGGTTTGATCCTACGAGGACCAGTCTTTGTTGGTCGGGGGATAGTTTTGCCCTCTCCAACAGCCTGAACCCGATTGTTTCGCTGGTGAGGGTGGTCTCGATTCCGATCTCTTGCGACCGTAGGTCCAGCAAGATTCGTTTGAACCTGTTGGTGTAGGACCGAACCGACTCACCCAGTTGCCTGCTGACTGTCTCCCATTCCTGGAGGTACAGTCGTTTGAGATACAGCGTCCTCTCGCCCAACGTTTGGCTGAGTTCGGTTAAGAGGTAGGTTATTCCGTCTTGCTCGCCTACCCTTTCCAATTGGAGGTGCTCTGTCTCCAATTCCGCCTGTCCGGTGAGACGTCCACCTCGCCATTTGACCCCCGGAGAAGGCCCTTTTCGCTCGTCCCAGGTGGCACCGCTAGTGCTCGAACCTGGTCCGGAGGCCCTTTCTACCGCGTCTCCACCTTGTGCTGGTGGGACTCCTGGCGGCGCTTGTCGGGCGGATCGACGTGACCTGGCGGATCCGGGCAGGGATGGCTCTACGATCGGGTCGTAGGTTGCCGTCTCTTCTTCAGCCCATTCGTCCCATTCGCCTGGGTCATCGTCGTCGTCCTCGCCGTCTCCGTCGTCGTCCCCATCGCCGTGTCCTTGGGGGCTGCGGCGTCGCTCTCGGCGATCTCGCTCCTCGCTGGACTCTTCGTCGTCTGACGGCGGCGGGAACGCGTCTCTTCCTCGACCCTTGTTGTCGAGGGCTGCGTTTGTTCGCTCCTGGCTATTAGGGCGCTTTCCTCTCTTGCCCTTACCAGTGCCCTTGCTTTTTCCTTTGGGCTTGCCTTTTCCCTTCTGGCTGCGTTCCTTGGCTTGTCGGCCCTTTTCGGACTTGGTGTTGAAGGTCGCCCAGACCCAGGCACCCCACTCGTCCGAGAAGGTCCAGTAGCCTTTCCGTTCCTTGCCACCTTTCTTGGTCTTCCCCTTACCTTTCTCGGGGGCTCTGCCTTTCTCAGGGCCTTTCCCCTTTTGGTCTCTTCCGGGGGCGCGTTGTTCCTCCCGGGTATCGTCTCCCCGCCGTCGTTTCTTGTTGGGCTCGTTCTCGCGGTCTCGCCGCTGGGGAGATCTGCCTCTGTTGCGCTCCTTCGGAGGTGATCGGGGTCCTCGTGGTGGTGTTCGCGGTGCTTCCGACCCACGCCTTGGTGCGGGTGTCCCACCACGGCCCTCGATTGCCCTTCCTTGGGGGTCTCGCTCGATCCCTGAGCTTCGGGCGTCAGGGTGGAACTCCAGGGGATCTTCGCCGAAGTCGGCGGCCCACTCCTTCTCGGCCAACTTGGCTGCCATGGCGGCGTCGTGTGCGATCTGCCGCCTGCGCTCGAGTTCTCGGCGCGCCGTTGCCTTGTCGGCTGACTCTGGAGGTGGCTCTCGGGAGACCTCTTTGTCTTCCGGCGCTTCTTCTCCTTGGCTTCCTCCCGTCGTTTTCCACCTGACGGGGTTGGTGGTGGCCGCGTAGGAGGCGGCGGTGGCACCTTCTTTCGCGGTGTTTCCTCCTCGTCTTCTTCTTCGAAGTCCTCTTCGGTCTCGTACTCGTACGTGTAGTCCGAGTCACCGGCTTCTTCCCGTTTTTCTCGGGGTTTCGCCTTGCTCTTCCGTGCTAGCAGCCTCGGGGGAGGTGCTTCCGGCTGGGGGGGCTGGTTCTTCCCTCGCCGTTTCGCTTCCTCGTGGAGTGGTACTTCCCCACGGCATGTTGCACTTGGCGCAGGTCCAGTTGCCTTTTCTGGATACCCGCCATTCCGTGCCTTCGCAGTTACTGCAGATCCTTAGGATCTCTGGGTCCTCGTCCTTGTCATCCCCCGATTTCGGAGGGCTTGGACATCGGTCCCGCTCTCGGTCGCGGTCCCGGTCTCGGTGGCCATCGTCGCGGTCGTCGCGTTTGGCCATCTTTCGGTAGGTGGGCATTGCCCTACCATTGGTTGGCTTGTGCCACTTGTGAGTGGTGCGCTGCACCTCGGTTTGGCCCGTTGGCCTGGCCCGCTGGGCCTTCTTTGCGGAGTTGCACTGCGGGAGTGCGCTGCACTCACCCAGCGCGGATGCTGCGGTCACTGGACTCTAGGCCCGATCTCTCGCAGCTCCGCTACCAGTGTCAAAGTGACAGCGGTGGGTCACTTTTTCCAAGCGCGCTGCGCCATGTACTCAAGGGCCCTGCGAAGTCGGACAAGTGTTGAGCCGATAGCAACGCAGAGCGAAAGTGAAACATGTCTGTGCATGTGAAACCCCTGCAGAAGTGCTACTTTCACAGAATTAATGTTATGAATATATATTATATCATGTATATATATATAATGCATATATATATATATGTAATATATAGTTGAATGTTGGTATGTGGTTCATTATTAAACACAATGGTTAAGACCATTTGTAACCCGATTATTTGGGGTTCTGATGGATTCTAAATGGATATAAATAAATACAGTAAATGATAATAAATGGGTAACTTCACCAGGTTACACTATGGCCATCTATGGCCTTACGCCTAGGTATCAAAGAACAGTGAAAGATCGAGCCTTGGGGTCTTGGGACTAGACCCTTAGATGCCAAGCTCACGTGGCGGAAATCTGCCAAGCCTGCTATGCCCTGCTGATAAGCATTGGGGCTTTACAAAGAAGACTTCCCGGCCGAAAAGAAACTCGTTTAGGTCTTTCATGGTCTTTCGAAGGATCACTTAAATCACAAAAAGTCAAGATATGCTCTGAATCCGAAACATCTTTCATGGACCCTGAAGTATCATGAGGCAAAGCCCCCCCAACCATCCCAACATTTCTCCGGTAAATCCATGAACATCCATGAAATACCCAGCCAGGCGCCGTTTCCGCAGTGGCTTTTCTAAGCCGGCATGATGCACCTGGGTAACTCGGCGTCGCGAGTCGCGTCGCGGAAAACCAACCGCGTCATCGTACGATGAAGGGTTCGTGTGACCAGGCGGCTTGGTCATCCCGGGTGAAACGATGAACGCTTCGTGTCCCAGTGTATGGGCCTGATCTGATGCGGATGGGTCTGAAAACGATGGATTTACTGGGTTTTCTACCCTCAGTCGTACGGTAATTTAGTAAATCATGATTCACCGATTTTGGGGTATGTATATTTTCTGGAAAAGCCACATCAGGCACTTGCATTCTGATCCTGGGCCAAGAGCTACGGAACTAGCTACGATCATTTTCAGCTCAGCCACTCTTTGATTTCGGCTTTGGCTCTTCTTGTGTCCTGTAACAAACAGGATTGGATGATTGGATACATCATGATACAGTACATCCAGGCTGCTAGGCTTTTACCTGTGGGGGCTTATTACAAATGTGTGAATCATTGTGAAATATTGTGAATCAGTAGTACCCTCATGAGTCAGGTCGGAGCTCCACTGAAAAAATGGGTCTATCTCCCCAGCAGCTTCTGCACGACCCGGCGGCCCGACCTTGCATTTCTGGTTGTTCGCTTTGGCGGGCTTCTTCCTTGGGGATATGGAGGCTCCATCTTCCCAAACAAGACTTTAAACACCAAAACAGGGCCATGGGCTGCCAGAATCAACTTCAACCACTAAACAGTTTGAAGAAAATTCATGTGACATGCAGGAAAATCCTAGCAATGCCATTGATGAGAATTCGAACACTGATGCCCAGGTGTTGAAGCATTGGCAGAATGATCTGGGCCCCATACTTCTGTTGTTTCTGCAAATTTGCCCGTGCCTGAAGCCCAGGTTTTTTTGAACAGGACTGGATCTGATTAATGTTGGTAAAACAATGTCATAAACCGCCCATTCAGGAATGGTAAACATACATGTAATCTATAGCAATGTGGGGGATTGTTAATTATCTGGTTGGTGGTTTCAGCGCCTCTGAAAAAACGTCTGTTGGGATGATGACATTCCCAATATATGGAAAGTCATAAAAGTCATGTTCCAAACCACCAACCAGTTATTGTCTTAATCACATAAAAATCACGTGATCAGAAATGTTCGAGAACCGAACCTCTCTGTGCTTCTGTCACCCTACTGGACTAACCGAGAATTTCAGGTGCGGCTGCCATCTGGTTGGTGGTGCAATAACCATCTTGGAAAATGCACCAACCAGCCATATCTATTGACATGTGTTGATTAGCAGTGATTTTGTCATACCGCTGAAATTTGTTAAAAGAGCTGTGCTGCGTTTTGCATCGTTTTGCATCATCGAGTTTTCTGCAGATGTTAAGCTTGTGTTGGACTGTTGGCTTCTTCCCCACAGAGTTTTTCAGGAGATATTGGGAGCATTTCCGGGACTTTTGGACCCTGCTCCATCGGAACATCTCCGAACCAAACTTGGAACCAAAAGAAACTGAGATCAACGGTGTGAAGTTGTTTCCGGTTACGAATAGGGATCTGCAGCTGTTTAGTATTTAAGTATTTAAGATTCAGTTTACCTATCAGTCCCAAGCGGCATGCTGATGTCGCCGGGTTTATCGTTCTTCGTCTTAATGCTATCATGCTAAATGGAGGTTTCCTAAAACAAGGGTACTCCCAAATCATCTATTTATATAGATGGGGAATTTCCATTAAAAAAATCCATTTGGGGGTACCGTCTTTTTAAGAACCCTCAATGTTTTACAATGGTTCTGTTTCTGCGAAGCATGTGCAGTTGGCTAAAGATATCACGCGCATTCACGCGCACAAGATCACCACAGGCCTCTTTCGCGGTCTGCCGCTTTCTCACACGTCGGCCACCAGTATTGACATCTGGCGCGATCGCTGGACACAGCTCTCGAAACACATATAGATTTCCTTGGTAGACAACAATCTCCCTGATTCTGGACAGATCTGGACAGCACAAGTTCCTGCTTCCTTGCATGCCATGCAGGTACTCTCTTGGTCAATATTTTCATGTCAGTCATGTGACATGTGTTAGATACCTCATGATACTTGTGGTTTCTTTGAGTTCATGGGATTGTTCACCACAATACCACACATGCACGAAACCAAAAAACAATGACTTTGTCTTTTCTTGTTCCTGTACGAGATTCCACCTGACAGTGAGACTCTAGATCTAGAAGCACAACATAATGACACAGTACAACAGATTATATTAGAGACTGCAACAAAAAAGATGGATCAACATTCGTTCTGTAATTCTAAGTAAACATACCTTACCCTGCAGTGCCAAAATCTCCCTTAAATGTGCATCTCCTCAAGCTGCTCAAGCATGACAGGAGCGGCTTAACTGCCCAGGAGCTTCTTCCTCCTTCAAGGACCATCAAGGACAAATGACCCCTCACTTGCCATGAGAATTGTCCATCCAAAAGTGGTCCATCTTGGCATAGTGTTTATTCATGTTTATTCACTTCATACCACTAACTCATGACTTATGGATTTATATGGATTTATCCCAAAGTCTTTTTTCAAATGAGCCATTCGTGGTCCATCGAAAAAAAAGCCGAACCAGAACCCAAAGTTGGCTCCAGTGGCTCCAGTGGCTCCTCGCTTTCACTTTCACTCTCATCCTCCGCTGGTTTTTCTTCACCGTCCTCTGGCTCTGGCCTGGCCATGGGCCATGTGCCAAAAACCATCCCCAAGAGACTGGAGAAAAACCCGGCCTGGTTATGACTAGCAGTTCGCCATGGTTAAGCCATGGCCCTAATCGAAATAGATGGTTTACCGAACTGAAAAATGGTGGATCTTTCCATGGCTATGTTAGTCATGAGTCATAACCATATGGTAATATGGGAAAATCATGGAAAATCCATGGACCATTTTCCATTGCCATGTTTGATAAACGGCCCTGCAGAGCCCAGTGAAACAGAACGGTGACACGTCTCAACATCTGGAGGGCGTATTGCCTCTTGTCTTGGTCTCCCGAATGAACAAAAAATCACTTGGACCACCGGTACATAACAGAACACTTTATGACACTTGAATTCCACCTTCATCAAGGTGACAAATAGATGTTGACCCTGTGAAAAAACATACGAGTCATTCAACACACCCACACATTTCATCAATGCTGATGATACTGGAGATTCTCTCATTGAAACTTATCCACAAAATATTTATCAATGAACTACCAGGTTTTCATGGTCAAACCGTCAAAAATTGTTAACCGATCTTGAAATCAACAATTATGGAATTATACAATTGTATCATAATTATTACTAAATCATGTTAAACCCCCCTGAATATGCGATCACTAACCACCATTGTTATTTCAGATTCATACCACCGCGCCTCGCGGTACCTACCACAGCGTCATCTTCACCTCGAAGGGAAGACATTTCATGACTTAATCCCAGTACCTACCTTCTGTGGGGAGTTGACTAATCCTAACTTGACGTCATCACTGATTCACAGAAAAATAATCTTAGGACTAGTTACTTCAAGTACATAGTGATAGTCACTTCATGAAAATCATCAGTGATGACTGGGGTACATAGTCACTTCATGATCACTTCAAAATCACAACCGAAATCTGCATCTAGCCGCTACTCGACCGAGAACGAGTTGAACGGACCGAGTTCACCACCTGGACCGCTTCCCCCAAGGACCTGCGACAACTCGGAGCTAACAGCAACTTATGCGGCCTGGGGGGGTAACAACAACAGTGCTACATTGCTACATGGGCAGTGTTTGTAGTGCCTGATGTCCAGTTCATAGGGAGTACATTGAGAGTATTTAGAGAGTTTACAGAGAGTATATATATATATATATGGATATAGTATTTAATAGTACATGGGCACGCTATGCAATGACTCATATTTTTGCGGTACCCTGTGAAAGAAACATGTGTAGATAGTATATGTAGGGTGTAAGGAGTATATGGGTAGTGATGAGGCAAGGTGTACAACACGTAGGTATGTAATGTTGATTAGTGATGTGTATATATATACATAAATTACACAATTAGTGGTGAAGCATGTGCGAGGTACGCTATAGGCAGGACACA